TCACGTACACAAGAATAAGAGCATCAAGATATATTAAAAAGCTATATAATAAGAAATCTAATATAATTTAGTTGGGTTTTAGACTGGTTCAAGTTAATTCCTTTTGCAATGCAACGGGTTACTACTCCCAAATAAAATGCTGGGCCTGGGCTGAATGACTGAATGTACTACAATAATGTAGGCTTGGGCGTTCCGTTATACAATCGGTTATCGGTTGGGTCCATTCGGTTTCGGTTATTTTAGTTCTAAAATTTAGTATCCATTCGGATATTTTGAAATTTTGGTTCGGTTTCGTTTCGGTTCCAGTTCTTTCGGTTTTAAAATTTAGTATCCATTCGGTTATTTTGCTTAGGATATTTTCGGATATTTCGGTTAACTTTGAGTATTTTCGGATATTTTTGGATATTTTTTTGTAATAGTCGAATATTTTTACTATTTTCAAGTATTTTTGATTATTTAGTCTATAAATAACTAATTATTTCAAAAATATAATCGTATTTCGGATATTTTCGGTTACCCAAAATATTTTGGTTCACTACCGATTCGGTTTCGGTTTTTTCGGTTATAAAATTTAGTATCCATTCGGTTATTTTCAAAGTTTCGGTTCAGTTCGGTATTTTTTGTTTCGGTTTCGGTTCGATACATTCGGTTCAGTTTATTTGTCCAGGCTTAACAATAATTATTATTTTTTCTAAATTTTTAAAACTAGAATATCATCTATCTGAAAAAAAAAACTATACAAAGCTAAAACCAAAAACACACACACGTTTCTTTATAGTCGTTCGTACATTTGACTAGTCGGACATTACATGTTCAGTATGTTGACTTTTCTAATAAATGAAATCAAGTGGACGGTAATAGTCAATACGTGTGTGTCTCACTCTTTTTTTTCTGATTTTTTTTTTTTTGGCTCCACTAGTCTGATTAATACGTACGTACCTAAAATTAGGCAGACTGAAGTTGTTTAGTAAATCGACTGATAATATCTTAACACACAATTAATCTACTATTTTTATAATTTGTAGTATCATATTTTTGTGACGATACAGTACACGTGGGGTACAGTTCTTCATAGTTACTTTATATTGTTTGAAAAAAGTGAAAACTATGAGTAGTGATAGTAAAATAAATGCGCAAATTTATTTTTTTCAAAAGAAAAAGCATTATAATATGTAGTTCTTCCGTTTCATTTTAGTTGTTGTTTAAGATTTTCTTATACAAATTTTAAAAAAAAAACATTAAATTTTATGTTTTACTCTTTATTAATATATTTTACAAAAAAATTATTGGCCAAAACATTAAAACAGTAGAGATAAAACTGTAATTTTCACCAAACATTTGCATTGAAAACCTAAAATGACAATTATTATAAAACAAAATTTAGATTCTAAAACGATAACTAAACTAAAACGGAAGGAGTATTAGATAATAAAAGGTTAAAAAACATAACTGGCGCAAAAGCTTAAACTAGTAAAAGTATATCTAATTTGATGATATATAGAATAGAGATCTCGTCATTTATTGTCAATTATGAATTAAGTACAATTTTTAGTTGAAAATATCATCTCCTTAAATAAAACAAATGTGATTGGTAACGAATTAAAAAGCATGCCAAAAAAATACATGCAAAACTTGAATTGTTACCAAGTGGCAGCAAGTGAGTAACAGTAGTTATATATGTGGTTATTGCCATGTTGATGGGGGACATATCATTTTGAATTACTGGTAGACACATTTCTTTGGTTATTAGAAATTTTACATAGCAATCATAATCTATGGACTTAAACCCTTATCAATTTTTTATTTATTTTTTTTTTATTTTTTTTTTATTTTTTAATAATTTATCGACTTTAGTTCTTACGTTTGATTGAGGTCTCTCATATACCACAAAGTCTAGTAATTATATAGTGTTGGATATATCATAAGAAGAAAATGGCTCAATATGTATAGTTCTCTGACCATTCTTTCTTTGCATGAAGCAACAACATAAAAAAAATGTGATAAGTTTTGGTATATAGAATTTTTTTATTTAAACCAAAATCTCGAGTCCTATATATAATATATATATCCTTAAAAACCACATGATCTACTATACATTTTTGCAGCAGTTTTTGGGGTACCCAAATCGGGTTAAATTTATTTAATTTTGATCCGGAAATCTTCAATCGGATCTTTCCTTAAATTTTGGCAAAATTAAAAAACGAAAATAATTAATAAAATCTAAAATATATATACTTTCTCAACTAATTACTATATTTAAACGCTTTATTTATGGTATATTCTCCACGATTTTTATAGATAAAGAAATCAAATATGATGATTTAATGCTAATATAACAAATTTGCACTAATTTCCTAAAACCTCTCTACCTAATTTAAACATAAATATATGATTCTTATTTCACTTTTATTTGATCTTATATTTATATTATTTTAAATTATTATAAAATATATAAATAGTTAGTAAATTTTAGTTTTTTTTTTTCTGCATATGTTACAATTCAAATTTTTTAAAACGGACATATATTACTCAATCGATGAATAAAAATATGTGTGTAATCTATATTAACATTTTTAAGAACAAATTGAGCATTTAATCATGTCGTTATTTTATTCAGACCCGAAATTGAGTCATTCGGATCTTTCTTTAATTTTTACAATTATCTAAAATGGGACAGTATATCACGGGTGAAATACTAATTAGTATTTTAAGATACAATTATAAATTATTTTTACGGGTTGGTCCAAAAACACACACTAATTTTAAAATATACATGGAAACTATTTGAAAGCAACTTTCAAATTAACTCGAATTATATGACATTTAAATAAAAGTGTTATTAAAAAAATAACAAAATGATGTTTAATTTCATTTTAGATTATATGGTTGGACGGGTTTGGGTCAATATTAATACGAGACAATATACCACAGGTGAAATCCTATAAATAACAAATCAAAATACAATTATACAATCTTAAACACTAAACAAAACAAATACAACTTAAAAATTTTTATTTTAGATACAACGCATGTTACCCGCGGTATACAACAAAAAATATTATACACAATAAATTCATCAATTTATAAAAATAAAAAAATCAAATAATTAACCCGCGGTGTACCGCGGGTCATATCCTAGTATTATATTCAAATGAAAATGAAGAAAAGCCAAATGATGAATTGACGTATGGGGGATAGGAGGTACGACATGGAGTTCCAAGTTTGGCTCCGAGCTCGAGTTTGATCGGTTTTAAAAAACATTTTTTCAATCTTCTACAACAATTCAAAGTGTGGTTTCAAATTTTCTTTCGATAATTCGTTGCGCAATATGTAAAAACGTTATTTTTTTCTTTGAATATAATTTAACTTACATTCAAAACAAAAAGAATCGATGATATAATAATGAGAGAAGATGATCAAAACATGATCATCTATATTATTAATTGGGAAGCATTCCCTGAAAAATAACCTTAAAAAGTGTAAAAAATTACAAGGGAATGCCATTACAATTAATCTATTCTAAGAGTAAACTTAAAAATTCGTTCCAAGGGTAAAATGGCTAATTTACTGGTAAGTGACACGCGAATCCTGGGTTATTGGGTCGGATCTAGACCATATTCATTCGGTAAAACACGCGGACCTCATCTCATGGGCTTTAGGATCCGTTTAACCCGCGTATCTGATGGAAATGAGCTTTGCGGATCTTTGTTAATCAATGCTTCTAGAGTGTTTTACGAGATCTCCTGTCATTAATGATATAACCAAATCTGTTAGTTATCATTTAAAGATATTTCTATATTAAACAAATCCAATTAATTTCAATTACTAAATAAAGATAAATCTCTTTCAAAACGAACAAACTTATTCTCTATTAACCATATCTACCAATAACTATATATTGAAATTCTAACAACTCGAGCATATACCATAAAAAACAGATTTCGCATATTCATATTGGCAAATAACCTAACTAATCAATTATATACCTTAATTCTATATTCAATCAATGGATTCGCAAATATTTTATTTTGATCTGATTCTCTAAACCCTAAAACAATCTAGCCGACTATTTTAACTATAAATATAGATGCCTAATGCCATTGAAGATACACACAAACCTTTGGCGACGAAAACTTTGCTGTTGCTACTCATTTTAATAAAATGGGTGCAAAATCTTTAACTCACCAGGAAATGATTATAGTTGATACATCTGTAAGTATAAATTCGATTTTCACTAGATCTTATACTCTTCACAGTCTTCTAATTATCATTAACAGATCCTATTATTAACACGATTTTATTCTCTTAAACAAGTGAACAAGCTTCAAAGGTTCATCAAATCTAGAGAGTAGAATGGTGGAAAAGCTGACACTTACAGGGCAACCAAACATGGGTTTAAAATGTATAACACAATGCTGAGCAACTTGATGTGCAGGAACACGCATGTACGATGTTGGAAAAGGCGGGAATTCGAACTGAAGCTGCTCAAGGTTTTGAAAGAACTTCTGTCTATCAAGCTCCATCCGCGAAATTAAAAACACACACACCAACTATCAACCACATTTTAAGAGAATCTTTCCAGATAAAGAAATTAAACTTCAACATAAATTAAAATGTTGAAACTTGAGGACAAGATACTTATAATACTCAAGCTTCAATGATCATGGTGCCTATGAAACAATCGTGATCATGAGGATTCTGATTGAGCTAAAAATACAAGTGATTGTGATTTGGGTCATAGAGCATTCAATAGGATTGTTAATAGTCATGGATCTAATCAAACCCTAATCACCTACACAAAACAAGAGAATTGAACCAAACAGCCCAACAAAGGATCAAGAATTAGAGAAACTCATAATAGTCCCCCCAATTCTATGAAGCCCTAGAAAACTACAACAAAAAGGAAATGACCAAAATCAGATCAAGTCACCAAGAGAGAAAGCAAAATCGAATCGTGGGTAAGAGAAATTGACTAAACTGGTGAGACGATGACGAGGATTCTGAAGTGCCTCGACCAAAACAGGATCCGCCATAGCTTCCTTCTCGGTCATAGCAGCCATTGATGAAGAAAAGCTTTGTATCTCTTACCTCTGCTATGTCTTATAAATCCTTTGTTCTCGATCTTTGATTTTGCCGTCTCTCTCTTGACCAGAGATGCGAAACGATGAGGGTGAAGGAGATGAAAAGAGTTTAATCTTTCTCAAATCGCAATCAAGTGTGAGAGAGAATAAAAAGAAAGTTGCTTCCTTTGAGTTTTTTTTTTTAAAATTTATTCCGTTTTCTGTATATTATGTTTTTTTGTGGGTTAAGTGGGGTTTGTAAAGCTGATTTGGTGGAATCATAAAGTATAAAAGTTTTACTCTATTTTATACTTTTGTTGGTTTCACATTTCATTTCACATGACACATGGTGCGTCGTTATGTACAATTTTGTCAAACAAATATCAATGCACCGAAAAACAAAATATCAACAATTAGCGTGGAAAATGTTGCAATGTCATATTAGCGAAAATGTATGATATATGGTGTAAAGTCTAAACTAAAGCTACTAAATAATTCATGGCTTTATATTCAGTTCAAGTGTGTTATGTGGTTTGCGGTCAATTCTCTCCGATTATTTTTCATCAATAAATTTCCAACGAGATGAGACACATCGATATAATTAATACATTGGAAATTTGGTACTAAATGAAATTTTTTGCAATAAACTTATTTTTGGAGAGTGCATATAAGATACCAAAGATTTTGCTGATTCTATATGGGCTGAATATTTTTTTAGCCAAACATGGGTTTAAAATTCTTTATTTGCCATAAGACAAGAATTGTTCTAAAAACAATTATCTGTCCGGCGACCAAAAAAAAAACAAAATTCAATAATATATATAAATAAATAAAATATCGAATAGAAAAAATGTGTTTAAGAGTCTTACGAATTGGGTCTATATGTATCTCGGCCCAAACAAAGTTTATATCTAATTCAGTTATGGGCCAGTAGATTAAAAATTTAGAATGTTGCTTTTATGAATTACCAAATATAATACCAAATATAATTTTATAAACAATAATATTGTATTACCAAAAAAAATCTTTTTACACATTTTAAAATCAAATATTCTACCCGACCAAAAAAAATAAATCAAATATTCTATAAAAAAGAAACAAAATTTCTATTATAACTATTACAGGCCTGAATCTGCAACTGTCCAAATTATTTATCATTCACCAATACCAAATTATTAATTTATATAAAACACTTAACATATGTAAATAAAACAATAAATCCTTTATTTACTTATCTTTCTATTCAAATTTTATAATTAATCAAACAGAGAAAATTTGTGCACTAAAGTTTATTTAAAATACAGAATATAATTTTGCAATTATTTTCTAATGTTATAATATCCATACTATTATCTAATTCAGTACAAAACAAAAAAAAAAAAAAAAACAATTTCTTTAATACTACTTAAAAAACTAAATTGGATATAAATTTTATACAACATATTTATATGAAACCCCGCACGTACGTGCGGGTCTGGATCTAGTTAATCTTATCTTAGAAGCATCTCAGTTCTTTTCCTATCAACCAGATATAATTAATTAAATCACAGTAAACCGTCCTTTTACGCCACACAACCTCTACATACACCAAACGTATATATCTATGATCTATCCACTACACACAAAAAAAACACCAAATGCAAAATACAGCTGAAAAGAGACCCCATTAATGGCATCTACTTCCTCTCCTTCGTATGGTTCCCAAAACGCTGCGTTTTGGCGTACCATTTTCGCATTACACTGTATATCCACACTAGTCTTCACTACGATCTCAACACCACCCGAAGATCCTGTCAAATGTGTGTCAGGAAACACGAACTGTACAGTCACAAACTCATATGGAGTCTTTCCAGACCGTTCCACGTGTCCAGCCGCCAATGTGGCATACCCAACAACCGAAGCCGAGCTTATCTCTGTCGTGGCTGCAGCCACTAAAGCCGGGCGGAAAATGCGTGTAACTACTCGATATTCCCATAGCATCACTAAGCTTGTGTGTA